GAAGACGTTATAGACCCGCAGGCTACCTACTCCAGAATAAAAACCAAACTTGTGTTCCTCCTGGTCTGATTCCTCTTTCTGCCCAAGAGTAAAGAAGCCACAGGGGAGGTGTTAATGAAGTCATTTGCACCCAGTTTCTTCTAGCAACACCAGCACCTAAGGGATTTGTCAGAGGTACATATTTGAATCCTCAACTTTGTTTTGTAATAAAAGCTTTTAAAAAGAAATAATGTTCCTTGACATTGTTGCATTAAAATGTTGCAATTATCAGCTTTAATTTAATTATGTTGAAGAAAAGACAGGACAGTACTTGTGAAATCAGGTTATTGGGTCTCAACCATCTGAGAATTTCAAAATGCAGACAAAAGGGAACAGAAAGATGTCCAAATACATCAAACCTAGTAAAGTTGTTAAATCCTTCCATTAATTTTCTTCTCATCTGTGACTGATCTATTAAATTGACCTAATGATTTTTGAATTTTGATTACTGTGTCTTCTATTTCTAAAAGGTTAATTTAGTTCTTTTTCAATTTATGTCACTGTAATTTCTTATTCTTTGCAGGCATCTTCAATGTAGATTTAAATCCAATAAGTGTTAAGTGTTTTACAGTCACTGTATGATAATCCAGTGTCTGAAGTCTATCAGTCTGTTTCTATTGTCTATTTCTCTGCTGGTTCTCTGCATAGAATCTAGTTCCCTTGAGTTTCTAGTCGTCTTTGTGTACTGGTCATTTCATTTGAAATCTAATATTTGTGGGAACAATTTGAGGCCTGTGATGAAGATACCCTCTTTCAGAAAGGAGATGCATATCCTTCTGCCAGAGTCCTCCTGGGAATTTAAACCAGCTTTTTTGGCTTTAGGCTTCCTGGGCAACTCAGGAGGTACAAACCCAGCTATAATTCCTTGTAGATGTCCTACTAGATTCAGCTCTTAATGGTGTAGCTCTTTGAGGTCACAGTGTATTGAGGGGAGAATCTCCTATTAGACTTCACACGTTTTGTGGACCCTGGAATTGGATTTATATCCATGTTACCCAGAATGTCTGTCCAAGTAAATGTCCAGTTTTCTGGAACCAAAAATATACTTAGGGCAAAAGTAGCTTGTTATTTATCTTGTTTATTTCTTTTTTTCTCCCCTCCTGTTTTGAACAAGTAATTCCCTTTTAGAAAGAATAGCATTTTAATGCAGTTTTGGTTTGGGAGCTTGGGGAATTTATTAATATGGTTAGAAATTTCTTACATAGATGAAGAAACTTGAGGAAATCTTTGTTATCCTAAAATTTAAAATTCTGCATTCTGTTCATCGTGATAAAGTAATGCAAATTTGTGTCTTTTTACTGATGACATTATCTTAAATGCTTAAATGATATTACTAAATCCTAACCAGATTTCAGGGAAACTGGTGCTCTCTCATTCATACTTGTTGGCATTTTACAGTTATAAGCCATTTGAAAAGTCAATTTGTCAATGTGATTCAAAAGCCATCAGTGTCCTGGAAATATAAAGAAATAATTCAAAACTGGGAAAAACCTATATATATAGAAAGATTTTATTCATAGTCTTAATCATAGAATTAGAAGATTAGAAATAAACCAAATGCTTTAAAATAAGGAAATAGTTACATAAATTATGATACATCCATTTGCTATACCATTATGCAGCCATTATAAATCATGAGTATGAACATCATTTAGACAGATGGAAAATGCTTATGATAAAGTAGTCTATGCAGGATACAAAATTTATATACATCTTGACTATAACTATGTAAAAGGCAAAAGACAGTAAAATATAAAAGATATCAAATACAGGGGCGCCTGGGTGGCTTAGTCGGTTAAGCGTCCGACTTTCGCTTAGGTCATGATCTCGCAGTTCGTGGGTTCGAGCCCCGCGTCGGGCTCTGTGCTGACTGCCAGCTCAGAGCCTGGAGCCTGTTTCAGAGTCTGTGACTCCCTCTCTCTCTGACCCTCCCCTGCTCATGCTGTCTCTCTCTCTCTCTCCTAGAAATAAATTAAAAAAAAAAATTAAATTTCTCATTATACAGAATTTTTGTTTTTTCTGTAGTAACTTTGGGAGCAGGAAAATATCTACCCTACCTGATATATAGTAAGCAGTTGCTAAAGGGCCTTTGAACAAATGCATCCATTGNCGTCGGGCTCTGTGCTGACTGCCAGCTCAGAGCCTGGAGCCTGTTTCAGAGTCTGTGACTCCCTCTCTCTCTGACCCTCCCCTGCTCATGCTGTCTCTCTCTCTCTCTCCTAGAAATAAATAAAACATTAAAAAATAAAAAAATAAAAAGATATCAAATACAAAAAACTTACCAACTTAAAATCTCCCAGGTTGTATGATGAGCCCATCTATATCAGACTGAGGAAATCAACACAGTTGTACTAGAGTGTCACTACTTTTTTCTTCCGTGTTTGCCGTTTCCTATGATATTAAATATAAAATGAATAATTTAAAAATAGATATATAAAAATAACATGTTGATGGGGTGCCTGGCTGACTTAGTCAGTGGAGTATACAGCATTTAATCTCAGGGTCATGGGTTCAAGCCCCAAATTGGGCGTGGAGTCTATTTTTAAAAAATTAAAAAATAATAACATTGGTGATGGTTGCACAACTATGAATTTACTAAAAAACATTTAATTGTATACCTTAAAAGGGATATTTTATAGTATGAGAGTTATATCTGAAAAAGCTGTTGTTAAAAAATTAAAAATTTCTAAAGTGATTATTATTTTTTAAAAGGTTTTATTTTTAAGAATCTCTACACTAAACACGGGGCCTGAACTTACAGTCCCAAGATCAGGAGTCACATACTCTACCGATTGAGCCAGCCAGGTGCCCCTAAAGTGAATATTATTTATAAAATATCCCAGTGTGTGCTTTTTTGGAAGTTTTTAATTTGCCAATCCTGTAGTGTTATAGTTTTTCTTTCTTTTTTGGGGCGGGGAAAGAAAATTATAAAACTTTATTGAAAGATATTTAAAAAGGGAAAATAAATAGAGCTATATCACGTTCATGGATTAGAAGACTCAACATTGTAATTACTCTATAAAGTCAATACAATCCAATAAAAATTCCAGCATTTTTGTTTTGTCTTAGAACTTGTCAATCTAATTCTTAAAGTTGTACGGAAGAGCAAATGGCTAAGAATAACTAAGATATTCCCAAGTAAGAAGAATTCAGTGATTTTTTTGGAGGTGGAGGTGGATGTGGGATTTGCTTTGAGATAACCAAGGTCACTTTCTAAGGGTGCCTGGGTGGCTCTGTTAGGTGTCCAACCTTGGCTCAAGTCATGACCTCATAGTTCATGAGTTCAAGCCCTGCATCAGGTTCTGTGCTGACGGTGCAGATCCGCTTGGGATTCTCTCTCTCTTCCTCTCTCTCTGCTCCTCCCTCACTTGCACTTTCTCTCTCTCTCTCAAAATAAATAAATTTTAAAAAAGACCATTTTCTAAAGTTACAGTACTCGGGATTATATGTTGCCATGAGGTTAGACAAATTGACCAGTGAGTCAGAATAGAAACTATCAACAGATACACACACACACACACACACACACACCTCATTTATGAAAAGATCTGGTATTAGAGATCAGTGGGGAAAGAATGAACTATCCAGAAGATGGTGCTGACAGCCACCACTTATCCCTATGGGGAAAGTATTATAATAAGCTTCTATCTCATATGTTTCACAAAATTCAAGGAAGACTAAAGACAAATGTGAGAAGCAAAACTTTTAATGTTTACAATGCAGTAAAGAATATCTCTATGACTTTGGGTAGGAAATGACCCCCTTACCACCAAGCTAATTTATAGTCAGCTTTATTTTTTTTTTAATTTTTAAATGTTTTTATTTATTTCTGAGAGAGAGAGACAGCATGAGCAGGGGAGGGTCAGAGAGAGAGGGAGATACAGAATCTGAAACAGGCTCCAGGCTCTGAGCTAGCTGTCAGCACAGAGCCCAATGCAGGGCTCGAACCCACAAAACGTGAGATCATGACCTGAGCCAAAGTCGGACGCTTAACCGACTGAGCCACCCACGCACCCCTATAGTCAGCTTTATAAGATACTTTTAAAACTTGTTACTTCCAGGAGGACATGGTTGACAAGCCATAACATCTGACAACTTTAAACTCCGTTTCCCCAGAAGCCAACAGTCTTCTGTTGCTGTTTTGAACAAGCAAATTCCCAGAAGGGGTGGACATTTCCTATGAGGCATGTAAGATCTTTTCACAGGTCAACTCTGACATGAAAGAAAGGAACTAAAAACTCAAAGATTATCAATGAGATGATGCACAAACTACAAACAGGAATCTTGGCTCTTTTGAGCAACACCATCTTGATGTTATCACCCAAAAGCCTGAGTATCTGACACAGGATTTTAGGAGTGCTAAAGCCATATCTTAACTATTTCAGGGAGTCAAGTATATGTGCCAATGGTATCAGGAAAGAAGGCATGCAGTTTTGCTTCCCTATGCTGTATGGCTTCTAGGCCAAAGACATGTGTGCATGTCAGAAAATCTCTCCTGGGAACCAAGAATAATCTTCAAAATACCAGGATAGAAAATCTCCATTTCAATCCAGCTTCTAAGACATTGTATTAGTGGTGTTTACGCTTTTCACAGAAGACAACAACGTGTCTTTTTTTTAAACATTTTTATTCATTTTTTGAGAGTCAGAGATTGTGAGCGGGGGAGGGGACGAGAGAGGGGGAGACACAGAATCCGAAGCAGGCTCCCACCTCTGAGCTGTCAGAATAGAGCCTGATGCGGGGCTCCAACCTATGAACCATGAGATCATGACCTGAGCTGAAGTTGGACACCTAACCGACTGAGCCACCCAGGTGCCCCTACAGCAATGTGTCTTGTATGCTAACAGCATAAGTTTGAAAGAAAATACCAAATTCTACATTTTCATAAAACTTGACTGAAGAAAAATAGTATTTGAAACAGTAAAGTCACTAGAAGCGCAGAGCTATCAAAAAGTTACACTTCACTTGGTATTCCCGGTGTTTTCTGCTTTCTGTGACTGGACTGTGGAAACATCTAGGCTCTTTGCAGAATTTCCCCCATCCTTGCCACCATCTGCTTTCCCCTTTCTCCCTTTGGATAGCCTCTCTCCTTTCTTTACAATGGCCTTTTTAGGCCTGGGTTCTGGTTTTGGAGAACCGGGGTTAGCAGACAACTGTGCTGATCTACTCTGTAGCTCATCCTTCACCTTCACTTTGTCACCTTTAGCATCTCCTTTTGCCTTTCTCTTGGGCCTAGTGGCAGCAGTGGTTGGCAGGTGGCTTTGTAAGTCCAGGGAGGGGATGGTCGTTGTCTTCCTCGCACTGCTTCTAAAAAGATTTCTTAGGAGGGGCGTCCGGGTATTTTAGTGGTTGAAAGTCCGACTTTGATCTCAGCTCAGGTCTTAATTTCAGGGTCCTGAGTTCAAGAGCTGATTCGGGCTTCAACTGGGTGTGAAACCTACTTTAAAAAAAAAAAAGACTTAAAAAAAAAAAAGGAAGCTTATCAGGAGACCATGGGCTGACTCTCCAGAGACTGAAGTCCCCACACCCTCTGAGAAATGTGGGCTCCCAGCTTCAACTGGGGCAGGGCTGGCATGGACTATAGTCTTATAATTAAATATCATTCTCTCTTTGATCCTCCCAGCTCTCTCCCCACTGCTACCAATACAGCTGTCCTTTCTGATGGAGAACTTCACTCTCTTTAATATATCTGTGATATTGAAATGTATGATAAGAAATATACATATTTTATCTTCATCTGGGTTGCTGGTATAGGTCTCCAAAAACATTTGGAATCTCCTAGGTGATGGGACTAGTAAAGGTGTCTCTCATTTTGTTTATAGTGACATTTAGAAGCACCTAAGGATAGGGGCTGGTTTCTAGAAGAACCAACCATGTGATTATAAGGTTGAAGTTTTCCATTCCACCCCCCTGACCTCCCTGTAGGTTGGGCTGGAGGTTGAGTTCAATCACCAATGGTCAGTGATTGATCATACCCATGTAATGAAGCCTCTTTAAAAACCCATGATGGCAGGGTTTGGAGAGCTTCCAGGTTGGTGAAGACGTGAAGATCTGGGGACACAGCGGTGTTTGGAGAGAGCATGGAAGTTTTACACCCTTTCCCCATACCCTGCCTTATGCATCTCCTCCATCTGGTTGTTCCTGAGTTATATCCTTTTATAATAAATCAATAATCTAAATGTAAGTAAAGTTAACTTCTTAAGTTAGGAAAGCAAGTAAAATGTTTTCTGGAGTTCTGTGAGCTGCTCTAGCAAATTAATTGAACCCAAGGAGGGTACTGTTGGGACCTCAGATCCTTAGTCAGCCAGAAACAAGTGACAACCTGGACTTGGCAATTAGCATCTGAAGGTGGGTGGCAGTCTTGAAGGACTGAGCACTTCACCTGTAAGATCTGAATCACTCTATGGGTAGATTGTGTCAGAATTGTGTTCAATTGTAGGACATCCAGCTGGTATCTGAGAATTGCTTATTGGTATGGGGAAAATGACAGCAGATACTGCAATGGGTTCCAGGATCATTTAACATCACTTTCTCCCAGTGTGTAAACACTTCCTGATCTCATTTCCTTTTCCTCTCAGCTGGAGCCTGTAGTTGCTCATCTGATCAGTAAACTTCCTTACCAAAACTCTGTACTTCCCTGTAGCCTTGTCTGACCCTGCCCAAAAAACCCTAAGCCTAGTTCAGTACTCAGTCTGCCTTCTGTGGTTCTACAGGCCCCAGTTTTTTTTCTCCTCCCTGTATTGACCTTGTTCAGTCCCTCCTTCACTGACTCTGGGGTTGACCATGTGACTTGCTTTGGTCAAGGGACATTAGCAACTATGACTCAAGTAATGACTGAAAAAAACGCTGGCACATACAGAGCTTGCTGTCTGCTCTTTAGAACACTCAGTTCACTTAGAAGCCTGAGCTAGCTGGCTGGGGACTGAGAGACCTTTTAAAGTAGAAATAAATAGTCACAGCTGAGGTCCTTCCAGAACAACCAGTCTGTCAATTATCAGGTATTTGAATATGGCCATTCTAGACCATTTCATCCAACTGAGCTGGCCTAGAACAGAAGAGCCACCTGCTGACATGTAGAATCATGAGATATAGGGGCTCCTGGGTGGCTCAGTCAGTTAAGCATCGGACTCTTGGTTTCAGCTCAGGTCATGATCTCATGGTTCGTGGGTTCAAGCCCTGCATCAGGCTCTGCACTTTTAGTGGGATGCTTTCTCTCTGCCCCTCTCCTGCTCATAATCTCTCTTTCAAAATAAATAAATAAACGTTAGAATCGTGAGAAATAATACATATTTATTGTTTTAAGTCCTGGACTATTGGGAGAATTTGTTTTGCAGCAAAAACTGACATGCATTTTCACTAACCTTTCATTTACCCTTACCTTCATAGCATGATTAGAGAGCATCTAAAAGATAGAGATTATCTAATGCCTAATAGTTCCAGGCTGCATATTTCAGGCTGGAACTATTAGAAATTAATGGTATCACATCTCACGTGGGTTCTTAGGATCCCTGTCAGCTACCTTTCCCCTGCTTTTCAATGTCTGACCATTCCCATCCCTCACCATGTTCCTCCCATCCCCAATTCAGTCCTATCCCCTATCAGTTTGAGAAAATGACTTTGTTGTCTGCTTGAGATAATGTGGGGCTTGCAGGCTACCATGAGGACTCTGGATGTTTTGATGTTTTTCTTTTTCTTTTTTTTTTTAATTTTTAAATGTTTTATTTATTTCTAGGAGAGAGAGAGAGAGAGAGAGACAGCGTGAGCAGGGGAGGGTCAGAGAGAGAGGGAGTCACAGACTGAAACAGGCTCCAGGCTCTGAGCTGGCAGTCAGCACAGAGCCCGACGCGGGGCTCGAACCCACGAACCGCGAGATCATGACCTAAGCGAAAGTTGGACGCTTAACCGACTAAGCCACCCAGGCGCCCCTGGATGTTTTTCTGAATAGGCTGAGAAGCCAATGGAGATTTTGGAGCAGTGGAGTGACACTCCAGCTCTTGTGTGGATAATACAATGTAGTAGAGCAAGAAGAGAATTAAGAAGTTAAAAGAGATGATGGTAGCTTGGTTTAGGGAGATAGAGGAAGTTCAGAGTGTGGAGAGTGGTGGAAACAGCACCCTAATTTATGGAGATTAACATGTAAATAACATCCTCTGGAGTAGTGAAATTCAGTTGCCATGGGTAAAGGGATACACTGAAAATTCTGGTTATATTTTGAAGATAAGAAAATTAGTGCTTGGGGCGCCTGGGTGGCTTAGTCGGTTAAGCGTCCGACTTTCGCTCAGGTCATGATCTCGCGGTTCGTGGGTTCGAGCCCTGTGTCGGGCTCTGTGCTGACGGCCAGCTCAGAGCCTGGAGCCTGTTTCAGAGTCTGTGTCTCCCTCTCTCTCTGATTCTCCTGTTTATGCTGTCTTTCTCTCCCAGAAATAATAAAAAAAAACATTAAAAAAAAAAAAAAGAAAATTAGTGCTTAACTATCCTACCCCTTCTGGGCAGAAAGCAGACTCTGAGCAGAAGGCAGAAGAAATATCTTTCTTTATATACTAGTCTTAGATGAATAAGTGAATGACTCAACTAATGGATAAATCCTGGTTAATATTTTTAGGTTAGAGCAGATTACATATTTTCTTTGAGAAGATAGCTTTCTTCTTGCTTTTCTATTTACAAAGTGAAAATAGTGCATAATAATGAGGTCTCTTGGGGCGCCTAGGTGGCTCAGTCGATTAAGCTTCTGACTTTGGCTCAGGTCATGATCTCACGGTTTGTGGGTTTGAGCCCCACGATGGGCTCTGTGCTGACAGCTAGCTCAGAGCCTGGAGCCTGCTTCAGATTCTGTGTCTCCCTCTTTCTCTGACCCTCCCCTGCTCATGCTGTTTGTCTCTCTCTCTCTCTCTCTCTCTCTCTCTCGCTCTCTCAGAAATAACTTTTTAAAAAATTTTTTAAAATAATGAGGTCTCATTGTATTGTAGGTGGGATTATTGAAATGTACTCCACACTAGTGCTTCCCCAAATGTAGTCATCAGGATTACCAGTCAACAAACTATTACCAATTGGCAATGAGATAAGGAGTTTTTGACAGAATGAAAACAATTGTGTCACTAAACACACTATTCAGCTGGCTTTTTTTTTCCATAGTAAAACTTGGTCTCTTAAGGCAGTAGTATGCTGATTTGCATTCTGACATAAGCTCTGTACCTTGTTGCCAACTGGCATCTTTTATTACACTACAACCAAGAATCGGCTGTATTTTCTGAATGCTACTAATATTTTATTGGACATGCCAAACATATTAAAGGCCTGGTAAATTTCTTAATCATCCCAAAATAATCTGCAGAGTTATATAAAGGGGATGATGTATTTAAAAGTGAGAAAATTATTTTTGAAAAGACTTTAAAACTAAAGATTAAAAAATATATGTTTTTAAGTAATGTCTACACCCAAAGTGGAGCTCAAACTCACAACCCCAAGATCAAGAGTCATTCTCTAATGACTGAGCCAGCCAGGTGCCCCAAGGCTTTAAAGCATCTAAAGGCAGCAAGATGTAGTGGAAAGAACATGGATTTTTTACTCAGATCTGGTTTCAAATCACTGCTTTGTCAGCTGCCATGTGACTTTATATTGTCTTTGTTTTGTCACAGCCAAGTGGAAATAATACCTACCTTCCTGGAGTTATAGCAAAGTTTAAGTGATACAGTATGAGTTAGAAGCCTAGCACAGGGCTTAGCATGTAGGAGACACTCAGTAACTATTAACTCTCCTTTTCTCTCTCTCTCCAATATAAATATCAGCTGCTCAGTCACACTCTTGTCAATACCTCTCTATCTGTAATCTTGTTAAATTTCAAGTGTGTTCTTGTTGGGGTCATATGCCCTGCTCACATGGTTTGCATGGTTTGTTGTGGATGGCAGATACAAGGAAGGGTATTCTAGGAAGCAGAGCAGGAAAGCTGAGTGGGAAAGCTGAGATTTTACCTGTACACTGTGATATTAATGTCATTATGAAAATACTGTGGTACAATAAAACTAGATTCCCTATCATTGTTAGTACTAAGAAGAGCACACATCCAGAGGATAAGCCCTTCTTGTTTTGATACCCACACAATTATTATTGCTATTTTGAGTGGGAATTGAAACCACTGTAAGAATATAAGTGGTAAAACTTTCCTTCTGGCCAACATTTCACAAAGTGAAAATCGAGGGCTAGTATCTACTATTGTCACTATTTGGTATCATATAGACTTAGGTTCATTTTCACCTTATGTAGTAGTTTGACTTCAGAAAAGTTTTTAATCTTTCTGAATTTGTGTCCTTCTTACTCTATTACTTGGAAGTCCAGTTCAGAGCCACGATGTTGCACAACTCCAGGGAGCTCCACTCGCATAGATCGCATAAAGAGTTAAGGAACTCTGGTTCAGAAGCCATAACAAAGACTTAAGTAACAGTGGCATAAACAAGGTAGAAATTATTTTGTTAAGTCTATTTCTTTATTTTGAGAGAGAGAGACTGCTAGCATGTGAGCAGAGTTGGGGCAGAGACAGGCAGAGAGAGAGAATTCCAAGGAGTCTCCTCACTATCAGCTGCAAGGCTCGAACTCATGAACCTGTGAGATCATGACCTGAGCCGAAACCAACAGCAGGATGCTTAGCTGACTGAGTCACCCAGGCACCACTGATAGAAAGTATTTCTTACGTATGAGAATGTCCCAGTATATACAGTCCAGGGCTGATGCATAGGCTTCATAGTGTTGGGGACATAGATTTCAATGCTCTTCCATCAGTCTTATTGCTATACCAGAGCCATAAAGTGTTACTCTCATCCATGTGGTCCCTGTCAAAACATTAACATTTACTCGAGTAAGGAAAGGGAAAAGCAAGGAGGTAGACACATTTGTTACCTTACAGAGTACCATCCTCAAGCTCTACACCTCTCTTCTGCTCATATCACTTTGTTGTTCATAGCTGCAAGAGAGGGTGGGAACTATAAATCTTAGCTGTACAGCCATGTGCCCACCAAAAATTGTGTTACTTTTCAAGAAGGGAAGAGTGGGTATTTAAGAGCAACCAGTTTCTGTCTGCCTTACCTATAAGGGATTTGTGCAAATTAAATACGT